ATGTCTAAAGTCTATAAAAGATTAATATGATCTCTGGCACAAGAAGTTAGGCCACATCAATGCCAAGCAAATCTCTAAGATATCTTCAAAAGATGTTGTTCGCGGTCTACCAAAGATCAACTTCAATAGATGTGACTCTTACAATGCATGTACCTTGGGAAAGCAAGTCAGATCTTCATTCAAATCAATAAATACTATCACTACTAACAGATCTCTGCAACTATTGCACATGGATTTGTTTGGACCAACGAGGACCATGAGTCTAGAAGTAAGAAGATATTGTTTGGTGATTTGTTGATGACTACTCACGATTCACTTTGGTGATGTTTTTGTCTCACAAGCATGAAGCATTTCGCTCATTTGAAAAATTTGCTCAAAAGATCCAGAACGAGAAATGATACAACATCACAACAATTAGGACAGACTATGGAGGAGAGTTCGAGGATCAAAGCTTTGCTAAATATTGCGATGAAATTGGGATAGAACACAACTTCTCCACAGCCTACACCTCTCAACAATTGCTGAAAGGAGAAATCGCTCACTGTAAGAAATGACCAGAATTATGATGATTGAAAGTAGTACTCGTACTTACTTCTGGGTAGAAGCTGTTGCTACTGCTTGCTACACACTGAACATAATGCTATTAAGACCACTGATGGAAAAGACTCTTTACGAAATCTTCAAAGGAAGGAAGCCTAACATATCATATTTCTATATGTTTGGATGCAAATGTTTCATTCTCAAGAATGTAAATGACAACATTGGGAAATTTGATGCAAGGGCAAGTGAAGAGATTTTTCTTAGATACTCAACTACTAGTAAAACTTATCGTGTATTCAATAAAGATTCACTAATTGTAAAATAGTCCTTAAATGTAAGATTCAAGGTTGACCAGAAAGGAATACAAGCAAATGATTATGAGGAAATCATGTACATATCTACACCATCGGTTAACAAGTAGCAAGAATGCCAACCTTGCTAATGTTTCGGAGCATAAACAAATTCCTAAAGATTGAAGATATAAGACAGAGCATCCCAAGGAACAAATCATTGGGAATATAGATGAAGGAATCAAGACCAAATCACACTAAGAAATCTAATGAATTCATTGGCTCTCATAGCTCAACTAGAACCCAAAAGAATTGAAGAAGCTGTTTCTTATGAAAGCTGGATCGAAGCCATGCAAGAAGAATTGCACCAATTCATAATCAATAAAGTTTGGGAATTAGTATCAAGACCTACAGATCATTCAGTCATCAGTACTAAATGGATTTTTCAAAACAAACTTGATGTCAAGGGTAATGTAGTTCGCAATAAGGCAAGATTAGTTACGAAATGTTACTCACAGGAGGAATGTATTGATTTCGATGAAACTATGCTCCTGTTGCTAGACTAGAAGTTATACGACATTTACGGACTTATGCCTGTTTCTATAATTTCTAATTATATCAAATTGATGTAAAAAGTGCATTTCTAAATAGACACATCAAAGAAAAAGTCTTTGTTGAGCAACCTCCAGGTTTCGAAGACTCGAGTAAACCTCAAGATGTCTACCTATTAAAGAAAGTGCTCTATGGACTCAAACAAGCACCAAAAGCTTTGTACGAAAGGAGCACATTCCTAGTGGAACATGATTTCAAGAAAGGTAAAGTAGACACAATCATTTTTATCAAAAAGGAGGGAAGGATTTGTTTATCATTCAAATTTATGTTGATGACATAATCTTTGGATCCACTATTGAGGATTTATGCAAGGATTGTGCAAATATCATGAAAAGTGAGTTCGAAATGAGCTTAATTAGGAAACTCAACTTCTTCCTCAGCTTACAAATCAAGAGAACAAAGGATGGCACTCTCCTTCATCAAGAGAGGTATGCCAAGGAGTTGGTGAAGGAATTTGGTTTGGAAGGATGCAAAAAAATGGAAACATCAATGTCCTCCACCGTCAAGCTTGACAATGATGAAAAAAGATAAATCTGTTGACCCCAAGATGTATAGAAGCATGATTGGCTTGCTATTATACTTAACAACATCTAGACCCGATATCTTGTTTGGAACATGTCTCTGTGCATGTTTTTAGTGGGATCCAAAAGAATCTCATTTATTAGCTGTAAAGCATATCATTCAATACATTGGATCATTTCCCAAGTTAGTTATCTGTATCCCAAGAATTCAGATTTTATGTTGCTTGGATATTCAGACGCTGACTTCGCAAGCTGCAAAATCGACAGAAAGAGTACATTTGGTACTTGTCAATTATTGGGAAGCATGTTGATTTCTTGGTTCTCAAAGAAACAAAATTCAGTTACTCTTTCAACCACTGAGGCTGAGTACATTACACTCGAAAGTTGCTGTGCTCAACTCATTTGGATGAAACAACAACTAAGTGACTTTGGGGAAGAAAATTTAAACATTCCAATTTTATGTGACAATACAAGTGCTATTAATTTAACAAAGAATCCTATATTGCATTTGCAGGCTAAGCACATTGAGGTGAGACACTACTTCATTAGGGATCTTGTAAATAATGATGACATATGCATACAATTTGTTGATCCGAAACATCAGTTAGCGGACATCTTTATGAAGCTGCTGGATAAGCAAGCTTTCGAAAATATCTGAGGAGAATTGGGAATATGCAATCCATTCGAATAGCCCCATCCAGGTAATCTTTACTGTGATGGTAATATACTAGGTTGTGATCAAAGATCGGCAATTCAACGGACATCAGATAAGTATTGAAAATTGATCTTGTTATCGTTGCAATATTGATCTCTCTTCTTTTTTACCATTCTGACATAAAGATTGCCATAAATACTGATCTTGTTACAATTACTGCTGCCTTATTTACTTCTTCGTGTTTATTGAAAAATTTGTGTGGATAAACTTAAAATTGGATAAGAAAGTTATCATTATTGAGTAACGACTAGAATTCTAAACATGGTTAAAGTGCTTCTATTTATAAGGTGGTAGTGCTCACGTCTTCTCCCTCTCATGAAAATCGTTTGCAGTAACCGCTCCTAATCCTTTACATATTCAAACCGTCCTCATCTCTTTCATTTCTCACTTTCTCAAATGGCTCCTAAGTCTCGTGCAACTCAAAAGGCCACTGGAACTAGAAAATCCTCTCATACAGCAACCATGTTGGCTAGAGCTCCCAAAGGAGGATCATCACACATTGATCTCACTAAGCCACCAGAGGGCTCCACTGAAGTAACTCAAAGCCAAAGTGTCCCTGTATCTCAACAAATTGGCGAACATGGAGAATCAGCAACTGCAAGCACCGCCCTACCATCTTCAACCGAGGGAGTCACACCAATTGCAAATACTCCTGAGTCTCGACTTCGCGCTGGAAAAGAAATGGTCATCGCACTTAATGTTTCATTATTGCAACTGGATGCACCGGCCCAACCGAGTCCATCCCGACATAAAAAGAGGCACTCCTTCAACAACTGTTCAACAAATTCTTGGAGGAAAAAGGTGCATTGCACAATGCTCTTGAAATTGACACCACCGAAACCCAGACATTGGCACTGCCTGCTACATTGCCTGTTGGTGACTCCTATCGTCTAGTAGAATGGTCACCATTGTTGGGACCAACTTTGCAACCTAAAGGGAAGATGAATAGATTGCTTTAGAGGCTTTAAAAACTTTCGCGAAAAATAGCGTGTAATAAGTAAATATCGAGTTTCACCAGATATATGAGAAGCATGATTCACTTGTGTGTAGAAATGATAAACAGAAGAATAAGCAGCTGCACACAAGGATATATAGTGGTCCGGCTTTGATTCCAAGCCTATGTCCACTTGCACCACTAACAGCCACAAGTTGGGGCTGGATTGCATTACTAAAATGCTAAACAAGTTACCCTCAGCGTACACTACTTTTATCAATTGATAGATGACACTATCAGGAGTTGGGTGTAGCTATTACTTGGTACACTTGAACTTTCAATACAATTACAATGCAGCAAGTGCTATCGATAGACAAGAGCTTTTTGCTCAATACACAGCGTGTAGCAATTTTTGGAATTTTATGAGCACTCTCTCTTTTTTTGTCGAATTCAAAAGACTTTCTCTTTATAGGAATCTTCAATATGATCGTTGATGATGTCTTAGAGAGGCGAGTAGAGCCGTTGGTGCTGCTGTCCTAGGAACTAACTGCCCATACAGCCTTTTCCGAAACTTCTGCAGACTTTTCTGAAATAGCTTCTACTGTTGTTCTGTAATTGTGGCTCTGACAATCTGTCAGACAACCCGTTCTCCTCTCTACTGGATCTTCTACTGTGCAAGTCCAGTCAACAACGGCTATAATAGAAAGATAACGGTCATATTAAATGATCTGTTACCTAAACATTACCATTTACTTGACCTCACCTAAACATTACCATTTACTTGATCTCTTCAGATTTAATGAGACATCGTCATTTAGCTGATCTTTGTGATCGATGGTGCTGTTTATAAGATCTTTCAAGGACAGTCTTGTGATCTTTTTTTTGATGAATTACACCATGAGTATCACTCAGTCCTTTGAATATATCTGCACTTAAACAATGTAGCTATTACACTAAGGATAGTTTGGGTATTATCAAAATACATTTGGAGATATTTCTCCAACAACCATCTAAAAAATCCTCTACCGACAAAGACGAAGAGAATGTCACCACTGAGAAGCCAAGTGAGATCGTTCCACAACCAACTGCAATGCCATCTGCTCAAGCCATCTCTGCTTCAATCACTGATCAACCAGAACACAGTGAACCCAGAACTGAAACTGAAGAAACATCAAGAAACAAGCGTCACGATAATGACGACGACCGGATATTCCAAAACTTTGAACCCACTAAAAGTTTTTACCTTGATCCTTCTTTTGATTTTGAAATGTTTTTAAGTCAACATCACATTGCCCCACACATAAATATAATATATATAATGTGCCCCTTGTTTTGTCCTATAGTGGCAAAGAGCTATTAAACCTAATCTAAATAGAAAAGTGCACGTAGGTTCAAACTCGAAATATAATTTAACATTCATTAAAAATTACAACTTTTTGTTGATTTTTGCTACCGCAATGCATTCCGTGCTCCCAACACTCCTCAATCTTGCACATTGTCTAGCAGTTATTTAGGCTAACATTGTTTCCGGTGTATTGGCAGACACCGGCATTTCCTGGACGTACCAATTGAACTCCAGGACGCGGGAACATTAACTCCTCTCGTCCAGTCAGCGATGGCTCTACGTTTCAGTACTTCCAAGCTGCGTTCTTCGAGCATGCTTCTACTAAGTTTTCATCCGTCACGCCTGACATCAATTTGCGTTCGTCCTTCAATCTACGTAATTTACTCTTGTATTCCTCGGTCTCTTCGGAGAGCTCTCTGATCTCTTTATCCATTCTCAAAACGGAATTGTCATTGAGATTGGTGTAGCGAGCACGCATGACGACTTTCAGTCGGTCAATCGCAAACTGGATTTTGAACCCCGAGAGGTGTATGAACATCAGGTACTTCCACCAGTTGTACAACAACTCTTCGGTGACTTCGGCGACTCTCATGTTAGTCATGCTATAGATAGTACCGCACAGCATTATGAAGACCATAATCTTGGGATTCTGGGTTAGTCTGGATTCCTCGCTCACGTCTCCGTGAATTACAAACAATTCTCTTAGGACAGGCACCAATTTCTGGGTCATCTTGTACTCCGCCACGTTGAAGAGCCTTTCATCCTCAGATGCCACCGCTAGAGAATTAGTGCGCGGGATGTTGTGGGGAAGCTTATTCCTGAACTCCGAGAATGCCTCGTCCAGGAAGGGCGAATTCGGGACGCTGTTAGAGCTGCCAGCAGCGCTGTTTTGCCAGGCCAGCACCTTTATGATTTCCACCACCCGCCTCTTGTGCACGTCCTCCAGCTCCGCCTTCTCTCTGTCATTCAGAGAATCGACCATACCTCCGAAGGTCTCAACATGCTGCGTCGCTGCCTCTTTGGCTTCTAAATTTCCTTGTTTTCCGCCATCTTGCTTCGCTTCTGAACGAATCATCTCCAAATCCTCACCTCGATCCTTTGCCTTCATAAATAGGTAAAGAACATCATGATCCACTTCAAAGTATCCAAGATGGGACAGCGATCTGGAGTTGGTAGTTGCAGTTGCCGAGAATGCGCTAAATAGACCAGCTTAAATTTGTCAGATCAGAAACACAGAAAACAAGGATTGATCTGTCACGGTTCATTCTGGTATGAAAAATTTAACTGATACGATGGATTGAATCTGGATTTCTGTTCATATCTTACTCCCAATGAAAAGTTCAAATAATTTTATCAAACAAGAGAGTGATCCAATTCACAGAGATCTCAGACATGACTTACCTTTGAGAATATACACTTAACATGAGCAATCATATTGCAATCTTTACAGTAGTAAAGCGGAGTGTGGGGGCCTATCTCCTTCCGACAGTAAAGGCAGAGAAGAAGGAGATCGCGGGGGACGTCCTCCTCATTGATGGAAGCCTTGAGCTCGAGGCAAGTTTTGCTGGGGCAGCGGGACCGTGGTAGCCGCAAGCTCCCGTGCTCGTGCTCAAACAAGCACGAGGGGTGTTCGCACAGCAAATGCACTGTGAATTTGCATTCCAAACAGTACAGGACCGACGATTTGCAAGGTTTGTGACAAGTATCGCACAAAGGAAAGTTGACATCTTCCGGCAACTGATTAAGGAAAAAACAATAGAAAAGAAAAAAATGAACTTGCACTCTGAAAATTCGAATACGACAAGACATGATTGGCTTTGAATTGTTGTACCTCATCGAAGAAGTTGAGGCAATGGCGGTGATTAGGGTGGATGATGGCAGGGGGAGGGTAGGCGCACTTGACATGGATGGCGAACCTGCAGCAGGGCTCCCGACAAAGGAAGTGGAAGCCATTGCATAGGGCCCTGCGGCAGGCAGAGCAGGTGAAGTCGGCAGGGACGGGGCGGAGGTCAAGGTAGAGACGGTGGGGAGGGTGGGCAGGGTGGAAGATATCTTGAGGGAGGAGGCACCAGTAGTGGATGTACAAGCAGCATGGCTTGCACGCATACGTCATGCCGCTGCACATGTCGGCGCAGGCCACGCAGGGCACTTGCTCATAGTCGGCCTTGCTGCAGATCACCAGGTCGTGGATATTGTGGCTGAAGTGCCTGATCCCCATGACCATCCGGGACTGATGAGCAAAAGGAAGCCGAAGCTCAGGATAGTTTTATATTCTAAGATTCATCAATCAAATTACTATTAACCCAGTGGGGTTCGTACAATAATTGAAGGGAATCTGAGCGGAAGTTGATCGTTCTACAAAGATCTGGAAAGTGCGAATCGCAAAACCTCGACCCCCAATCGAACCTGTGATTGGTCACCTCGGTATAAACGTGACCTGTTGACGAACTTGTGTCAACCAATCGACGTTATAGACGCCACGAACAAGAGAATTCGCTATCCTGCTCAATTAGTCGAATTGACCGCCACAAGGAAGGCCTTGATAAGGTCAAGTCCACAGAGAACTCAAAGAAGAGAAGAACCTCTCGTTGTATTAAAATGAATCATCTGTCTCCAAAGAAACCCTAAACACCCTTTTTATATGGTGTTAACCCTAAACGAAAATTTACGAAAACGCCACTAGAATTAATAAAAGCGCTTAAATAAAGAAAAAACTTAAACTACTCCGAAACGCAAAAAAAAAAAAAAACGACATCCGCCACAGCATTAGTGGTGAGTATTAATCAGCGGCTCGTTTCCTTGCAATTGACCAAATTTGATCGTGTTGCGCCAAGAGATCCAAGATTCTTCACGTCCCAATCCAAGATCGCTTCCACTCCAAATATCTCGAACCATGATGCCAAAAGCTTGCTTGAATTGCTTCGCCCTTACTCGAGTAATAGGACCAAGAGGATAGGACAATGGGTCCCTAGCACCTCCTCCTCGATATGTCACGATGTCCACATCATTCCCTCCCCCGTGCAAAGGATTTGCCCTCAAATCATCTCCTGCATCGAAAAAAGTTAAGTCAGAAACATTGAAAATAGCACTAATACCATACTCACCTTGAAGGTCAAGCTTGTAAGCATTATCGTTAACCCTTTCCAACACCATAAACGGTCCATCCCCTCGCGGTTGTAACTTAGAAAGTCGCCGCTCGGGAAAACGCTCCTTGAGCATATGAATCCAAACCCAATCGCCGGGTTCAAACACTACTTTCTTGCGCCCTTTGTTGGCTTGCTTTGCATATTGCTTGGTCTTGTGCTCAATATTCAACCGCGTCTTCTCATGCAATGCCTTGACAAATTCGGCCTTCCTAGAACCATCTAAGTCCATACGCTCATCAACAGGTAAAGGGGTTAAATCCAATGGAATTAAAGGATTAAAGCCATAAACAACCTCAAACGGTGTAAATTTAGTAGCAGAATACATGCTCTTGTTATATGCAAACTCAACATGTGGCAAACAATATTCTCAAGACTTTATGTTCTTTTTATTATAGCACGCAACAATACCCCTAAAGTTCTATTAACTACCTTGATGAAGGGAATCTGAGCAAAAGTTGATCATTCTACAAAGATCTGGAAAGTACGAATCGCAAAACCTCGACCCCCAATCGAACTTGTGATTGGTAACCTCGGTATAAACGTGACCTGTTGACGAACTTGTGTCAACCAATCAATGTTATAGACGCCACGAACAAGAGAATTCGCTATCCTGCTCGATTAGTCGAATTGACCGCCACAAGGAAGGCCTTGATAAGGTTAAGTCCACAAAGAACTCAAAGAAGAGAAGAACCTCTCGTTGTATTAAAATGAATCATCTTCTCGATGTCTAACCCCTCGGCCTCGTCCTCCGTTCCACCTTCCAAACCGGCCATCTCGATCTTCCTCTATGTCGGCCTCAAACTCATCATCAAATTACCGCTGCCATCTAGGTCGTGTTCTAGATTCATCTCGTTGATTTCGCGGCCTCCCCCATGGTGGCTCTCGATTTCCATCAAGCCTCGTCTCACATCCCATAACTCAGGTACTAAGTACTTCAAGTTGCAATCTCAACTGTTGAATGCCTTCCAAAATTACATCATCCCTTTGTTTAGAAGCATCTTCCTTTTGATTTACGCTTTCTTGATCGTGTGACATGATTTACCTGCAAGAAAATATTAGAAATAAAAGAAATCTCACCAAACACTCCCTCACGTGTTTTGCTCAAGGTATTTGTCGATTCCCCTTGTGTTTAACTCAAACTTAATGTCGGTTTTTTTTTTAATTAAGCTCACATACTCTTGCCTTTTACCTCTCGTATTCCCTTCTCACAGTTCTTTATCAGACTAAAAACCGTTTTCTCACCCACCTCACAACAATCGACCAAACCACCAAGCAGGATCAAAATAATTCGTCAACCTTTCACTAATTGTCAAATTCAAACTCAATTTTGATACTTTTTTTTAATTCAGTTCGGTCCAACTAACAAACGAGTCGTCTTCTCGATTCTTTTTGGTTGATTTTTTTTTTCGGCTTGCCCTTTTTTTTTTTGCCGAATCTTTTTTTTTTTTACGAACTCAAATACAATCAAAACACATTAAGACCGAAAAGAAAAAAAAATGCAGCAAGAATGATTTGGATCCCTAATTCGGTTAAAATCTGCAATCCTAGTTCAATAATTCTCAATTTGCCGAATGAAAGTAACAAAATTAGGATAACTAGACCTTATAGAACCTGAGCTTTGATACCAGATGAAGGGAATCTGAGCGAAAGTTGATCGTTCTACGAAGATTTGGAAAGTGCGAATCGCAAAACCTCGACCCCCGATCGAACCTGTGATTGATAATCTCGATATAAACATAACCTGTTGACGAACTTGTGTCAACCAATCGACGTTATAGACGCCACGAACAAGAGAATTCGCTATCCTGCTCGATTAGTCGAATTGACCGCCACAAGGAAGGCCTTGATAAGGTCAAGTCCACAGAGAACTCAAAGAAGAGAAGAACCTCTCGTTGTATTAAAATGAATCATCCGTCTCCAAAGAAACCCTAAACACCCTTTTTATATGGTGTTAACCCTAAACGCAAAATTACGAAAACGCCACTAGAATTAATAAAAGCGCTTAAATAAAGAAAAAACTTAAACTACTCCGAAACACGAAAAAAAACGACATCCGTCATGACATTAGTGGTGAGTATTAATTAGCGGCTCGTTTCCTTGCAATTGACCAAATTTGATCGTGTTGCGCCAAGAGATCCAAGATTCTTCACGTCCCGATCCAAGATCGCTTCCACTCCAAATATCTCGAACCATGATGCCAACAGCTTGCTTGAATTACTTCGCCCTTGCTCAAGTAATCGGACCAAGAGGATAGGACAATGGGTCCCTAGCACCTCCTCCTCGATATGGCACGATGTCCACATCAATAATTCATTTGGGTCATTCAAAACGGAAAGGACAAAAGAAAAGGTGCATCACTCGACGTCGACAAAGAATGAGAAACACCAATCTTTTTCTTCTTCACTGTCGACTTCATTGCTGGCTATTCATGATTCACGATGACTCAAAGCAAACTCAAAAAGCCGACAAACACCTTTGAGGCATCAGGAGGTAAATTTGTTTCTTTTATTTTGATCCTCTTGATTTTGATGTTTTACAGGATTATGCTCATCTAATCTAAGTGTAATAAATGGGCCCAAAGCCCAAAGCCATGTTTCAATAGCCACAATTCAGCCTACTTACAAATTTCTTTTGACCGATTGCGTCGCGTTCGATTCCACGCGGCTACATGACAACCGAGGGTCAACCATGGATCGTTAATACTCGAACATGGATCAGTCGCAAATCGGCTATAGATCGTTGCGTTGAATTGGGTAGGCCATGGACAGGCCATGTGCCAGGCCTTGCATCAGGTCAGACCTAGTCCCGAGCTAGTCAGACCTGCCCACGGGCCGTGCATTGTGCCGTCCATGAGCCAATGCATGTGTCCGATCTATGAATCGATCCTTTGACCGTGTGTCCTGTCCATGCACACGGCACTTTGCTCGTGTGGCCCAGCCTTGTGCTAGCACACCGTCCGTGCAGCTCGATCCCGTGCCTATGCACTCGTCCCTGTGCCCGTGTGGCAGGCTCGGTGCCCGTATGGCCCGACTATGAGCTCGGCCTTATGACTGAGTGGCCCAGCTGTGTGCCAGACCCTGTGCCTGATCAGGGTTATCTAAACAAGTTCAGTACTTGGTCATTTCAGATTTTGGTTCAATGTCACTTGAACATTATTTGACCTCAAACCTTAGATTTCTAAATGGGAGGGTCGATCGTTTAAGGTACCTAAAACCTTGATTACCTTAGTTCTTTGCCAAGCCAAATTTAGTGAAATTTGGTGTCCGAAGAAGGTAGTGCCAATAGAACTAAGCAAGGACCCAATTATTTGGTGTTTCTTGATATAGTCATGTGATTCACGCCTAGCATGCTTCTTGGACAAGAAGACAAGATGACTTGACTATTTGTGCATTATTGCCGACTTCTTTGACAAGTTGGTCAATAATGAAGACCAATGCCCAATAATAATAGAGCTCTGGACTAATAATGAAGTTGTCTTGCATGAGCCAATAATTGTGACCTCTAGAAAGTGATTCACGCTCAAGGAAGAAGCTATGGATTATAGGACAAATTAGCAACTTCTTTTGGAATTGTCTAATAATTGAAATATAGCACCAATAATTAATAACTTCCTTAGAAAGTTGTCAATGATAAAGCTTGACCAAGAAGACCCCAATAATAATGATAGGAATCTGGTGGAAGATTTCAATAATTGAGTCTTGAAGGCCAAGACTACCATTCACGCCCAACTTAGAGGCTCACGGCCAAAGGGAGGAAAAGAGAGAGAGAGAGAAACCATAATGATTTACTTAGGCCTTAAATGAATTAGTAGGGCATAATGACCCTAAGGTAGAAACTTAGAGACCAAGTTGGTGATGAATGATCTTAATTAAAGGCTTGTATAAGATGCTTAATTATGGCCAAAGACTTTCAAGGTCTCATCTTAATGACGCTTAGACTTTAGGGCCCCATTCATTAATGGATTTTGGCCTTAGCTCATTAGGACTATAAGTGGACAATACTATAAATAGACTTGGGTCCCTCTTAGTCTCCTTTTTCCTCACACCATCACCATCCACGCCTACCCCACCAACCA